CAAAATTGCATATATGTTTCACTAGGCAATCTCCAAAGACTAAAGAAATTTATTTTATTAATCAGAATTTATGATTAACAAAGAGCATGAATTGCAGCTTGAGTTCAATCTGAGGGTCTTGTGAGAGACAGATTCCAACCAGCAACAAGCGGCCTTTGCCTGCAGTTCACCCCCATTCTCTCCTTTCTCTGTCCTGCAAGCAGCATCCCCCGGTTTGAAATCACTCCTGCTACAACACTGCAGCCAAGATCTGGCTTTGATGCTGCCCACACCAGAATGTTTTATGCTCAGCCAGGGCAACAGACAGCAGCAGCACAACAGACTGAGAAGCTATAGAGAAGGTATAGGATGATGCTTTTATCACTCCCAACTCCTTACTACAATAAGCAGTACTGAAATAAGAGCCATACACCCTTTATCCACGCTATAAGCCCACTTCTAGCCTCCACGATGTTTACCAAGCAATGCTAACTTTAGACAGAGTTCTGGCAAAGGATGAAATCTAGAAATTTTTTAAGAGCAAGTTACATGCTTTGGCTATAGGCTCAGCTGAGACCATTTACACACCTGAATGATTTAAGTCACCCAGATCTGGATTTTGAGGATTAATAATTAGAAGTTTGCAGAGGCATCATCTATTAGGCCAAGCAAAAAAGTGCTATCACACTTTATACATCAGTGATAATTGTGCTTGCAAAGTTTCCTGCTCCTTTAAGGTTTTAGTCAATTTTGCAGGGGAAGGTTAGACAAGAGCAATCTCAGGACATGCTTACTGCAAACACAAGATCCCAAGTGAATTTTCATAGGCTAGACTTGTCTGCATGCATATCTGAAGTTGGCACACTTCACTTGAAGCTAAACAAGATTTTCGCCCTGAGAAACCACTAAGTGGTGGCCATTGCATTAGTCGAGAGAAAAAGTTTAAAATACCAGTTATCTAAATTCAGAGATCTCAGAGGCAGCACTGGAACCCCTGCATACAGAAACCAGGACATATGCACAGGATCAACACTAGAGGAAAAAACCCTAAATCCAAGCAGAAACCAAGTAACACTCATTCAATTTATCCTAATCTACATAAAGCAAACAAGTGCACTTACTATAGAACAAGATAACTTGTTTGAGCAGTAAGACAAGCTAATCTGTCTTTCAGTCATTGGCATTCATTGCTGTGCTTTTTTTGCCCTTTGCCCATGGAAAGCCAACCTCATTTCCTACTTCTGAAATGTTCTTGCTGTCAATAACTACGTAATTTACAACACAGATCTAGCTCCCTGCCCAAAAGCTGGGGGAAAATGGGTCGATGTGGACTTGACTTCTCATGACAGAAGACATTATAAAACCAAAATTCCCAGAAAAGACTCAATTACCAACAAACTCTTCAACAGCTCCACTCTCACAGCAAGAAGGGAAAATAGCTCTCCTTTTGTACCATTTCAAGCTTTTTTTGTGTGAATGTGTTATCTCCTCTCTGACTGTGTGAAAGTGTGTTCCTGATTATAAGGAGGAAAGGGCACAAGATCCATGCTGGGCATGGTTACATCAGCACTGTTACTAACACAGGCACACACCAACATACAGAGATGACACACATTTTCCCTACCTTTTGCATACATCATTTACACTAAACAGAACCAGATTAGTTAGTCCTGAGCAAGAGGAAAAGTATGTTGAGGGCAGAATACTGGCAGAAACACTATTCTGGATGACCTGTTGAACCTTCTTGCATCCCTTAATCCCTGACAGGAGGCTTTCCTGTCTCTCACTCCCCAGCTCTTTGCTACTGCTACGATTAAGACCACATCTGAGTAATCACTTTTTTTTCATCATTGCATAAATTTATAATTTAATGGCTTCAGGGCAGGAAGGCTTCGTTTCATGCCAAAAGAAAGCACATATAAGCATAGTTAGCTTGCAGAACAGCAAATTTACTGTTCTCAAACACATGACAGGCCTACAGCCTAAGAAAAGGGATGGAATGAACCTGATGACCACACTTAGTCACAGAGTCGAGTTTTAGCAGAGAAATCACAGCGATGCTTCAATCCTCAATCACAGGTTCTCTCTCTGCTGAGAACAAAAACTCATCTAGTTTTCAGCTGCGACAAATCTCATGCATCCAAGGAAAAGAGATTCCTTCAGTCTGCATTCACTGAGGTTGAGTTTTCCAAAGCACCATCCTTCTTCATGAAGGGCCCTTGGGCTGACAGTGCATATCAATGTGGCTAGGAAAAAAAAAAAGTTTTTATGGGACAGGGATATTTCTGGTTCTTAGTCTTCATCTTACCATCAAAACAGAAGATAAGCCCAGCTGATCCTTCCATGTACACACTTGGGCACAAATGCTACAATGCCAAAGGCCAGTCAGCCATCTACACGCTCACCAGTTCCCACAGACTGGTGTTCCCCAAGGCACAAAACTAAGAGTGCAAGGGCTCTAAATACATCCCAACATCTAAGCAATGCAAAGAAAAGCAAGCTCAAAAATCTTCAAATCGACAGACCCATAGATTTTTTTTATTATGAGCAAAAGGACTAATAATGCTGCCTGAGTAGTTTGGGTTGGAAGGGACCTTTAAAGGTCACCTAGTCCAGCCCCTCTGCAGTGAGTGAGGACACCTTCAAGGAGCAACTAGTTCTGCAATCCAAACGGAAAACCCAAGCGTGGCTGCTCCTACTGCCATACACTCCACAATTCAAGGGCATTCACAAATTATTTTAAAAAAAACCAACCCTGTACCCATATCTATTCACTGAGACCTGACAAATGTTTATTCCCCTCGAAGAGCACCTACTGCCTCAAGGGGAAAAGCAGCAGCAACCTTCCAACACACCCAGCCTCATGCAGCACTCTCCCCCCACCCCCCTGAATTCATCACTCCTTCATGCTTCAGCTTTTCCTTTGTTCAGTTCTTATCCCCTCCACTTCCCCAACTACCCAGAGAGCTGCAGCTGTCCCAGCCTCTCCGAAAAAAACCCTCCAGCAACCCGGCAGCCCTCCTACACACGCTGCCTGGCAATGTCAAGGTGGTCACGGCTATTTATTTTTTTTTTTCCTCTACCATCAAGTTCCTGCAATGTTTCAACAACCTACGGAGAGGTTTGCACCAGGCAAGACCCCATCCACGCACCCTGAATTACAGGGTGTCCCCGACCCCGGCGTGTCCAGCGGGGGGCACCCCACGGGGGACCCCCCGCGGGGGACACGGGTGGCCCCGGACCCGTGTCCCCCGTCCCTGCAGCGCTTCCCACAGCACCACCTGCAACCTCCGCCGAGCAAACCCCGGACACACGCCGCTGCTTCCAGGCTGCTACAAAAGTCGAGCGTCCCATGGCACGGAAACAGCCCCAAAACTAAAACACGGGCCCAGCACCAGCAGGACAGTCCCTCCTTTTCCGCCTCCCACCCTTTTCTCCCCCCTTTTTTTTTTTTTCCCCCCACACCCCGCTCTCCCAAGCGGGGGTTTCATGCTGCCACTTTTCCCTCCC